CTCACAATGATTCTTAAGGCACTGGATAAACAAAAACAAACAAATCTCAAAAGTACTAGATGGAGAAAAATAATGAAGATCAGGACAGAAATTATTGAAATAGGAGAAAAAAAGATCTAGCAACAACAGAGAGAGAGAGAGAGAGAGAGAGAGAGAGAGAGAGAGAGAGAGAGAGAGAGAATTATAAGCCAATCTCTCTGTATCTGTAGACAGACACAAATTCTCAATAAAATACTTGGAAATAGTATTCAAGAACACACCCAAAGGCTCATTCACCATGATCAAGTTAATGCCATTCCATGCATGGAGTTATGATTCAACATAGGTAAATCAATAAATATAATTCATCACATAAAACAGACTCAAAGGCAGAAATCACTTGCTTATTTCAGTTGAAAGGAAAAAGACTTTGATAGAATCCAACATGATTTTTAAAAAAAATCTTGTAGAGACTAAGGATGAAGGGAACATATTTCAACATCTCTGACAAACCAATAGCCACTATCATATCAAATGGAAAATAAAACAACAACTCTGAGGCATTCCCACTAAGATCAGGAGCAAGACAAGGATGTTCACTTTCACTGTCACAATAGAGCGGTGTCAGTAGACTTAAAGTCCTGCTTAGAGCAGTAAGACAGGAGAAGAAAACAGAAGGAGTACACATAAGAAAGGAGGGAGGCAAAGTACTTGTGTTTGCATATTACCTGATTCTGTAAATGAGAGACCCGGAAGACTCTACCAGGGAACTCTTCAAGCTAAACACTTTCAGCAACATGTCAGTTACAAAATAATACCCAAATCAGTAGCCTTCCTATATATCCAAAACGGACTAAGAAAGGAATCAGAGAATGCATCTCATTCACAATAGCCAGAAACAACAACAAAATCCTTGGAAGAAACCTAACCAGGGAATTGAAATACCTATACAATGAAAACTTTAAACCACTGACAAAAGACATTAAAGACAACAGCAGAAGATGGAAAGACTGCCCATGCACATGGATTGGTACGATTAATTCGTGAAAGTGATCTTCCTGCCAAAAAAGCAATCTACAGATTCAATGCAATTTCCATCAACATTCCAATGCAAAGCTTCACAGAAATTGAAAAAACTATCTTAAAATAATTATGGAATCGCAAAAGACCTAAGCTAGTCAAAATAACGTAGAACAACAAAAATATTGCTGGAGGCACCATTATACTTGATTTCAAGTTCTACTGTAGAGCCGTAGTAGTCAAAACAGCATGGCACTGGTACAAAGACAGACACAGTGATCTGTGGAATAGAATCTAGGACTCTAAGTCCTTGCATCTACAGCCACCTGATTTTTGACACAAATACTAAACACATATTGGAGACCTGACAGCATCTTTAACAAATGGTACTGGGGAAAAAGTATATCTACATGTAGAAGAATGAAACATGATCCTTCTTTCTCACACTATACTCAAATCAATTGCAAATGGGTCAAAGATCTCAATGCTAAAGCTGAAATTCTAAACCTTCTAGAAGGAAGAGTAGGAAGTAAATTTCAGGATATAGGCTCAAATAAGGACTTTCTAAACAGAACTCTAGTGGCACAGGAAACAAGACCAGCAATCAACAAAGTGGGACTTCATGAAATTAGTACTGCAAAAGAAACTTTTAGTCAGTTGAAGAGGCTGTCTACAGAATGAGGAAAAACGCTTCACCAAGTATACATCTGACAGAGGAATAGTGTCCAGAATACACAAGGAACTCAAAGACTGAACACCAAGAAAACAACCAAATTCAAAAAATGAGTTGTGGAACTAAGGAGAGTTCTCAGAAGAAATACAAATAGCTAAAAAATATTTTTAAAGTTCACAATCTCTATCCCTCAGGGAAATACAAATTAAAATACTTTGAGAGTTCATCTTACTTCAGTCAGAATAGCCAAGAAAACAAAAGACTATAAATGCTGGCATGGATGGGGAAAGGGAAGTCTAATGCACTGTTAGTGCAATTGCAGATTGGTATAGCCACTATGGAAACCAGTGTGGTGGTGTTGGTACATTGGTCTTTGGTCTTTTTTGGAGGGCCCGCCACCCAGCTCCCAAATAAATCACACACAGAGACTTATTCTTAATTACGAATGCCTGGCCTTAGCTTGGCTTAGTTTCTAGCCAGCTTTCCTTAACTTATCACATCTACCTTTTGCCTCTGGGTTTTTCCCATTCTCTTCTGTAAATCTTACTCTTACTCCGTGGCTTGCTGTTGTGTAGCTGGGTGGCTGGCCCCTAGAGTCTTCCTCCTTCTCTGGCTACTTCATCCTAGATCTCCAATCCTTTTCTTCCAGATTTCTCCTTCTATATATTCTCTCTGCCTGCCAGCCCCACCTATCCTTTCTCCTGCTTTGCTATTGGCCAGCTCTTTATTAGTCCAACAGGCACAGTAACACAGCTTCACAGAATTAAACAAATGCAACATAAACAGAAGTAACACACCTTAAAATATTCTACTACAGTGTGGAGCTTCCTCAGAAAACTAGAAATAGATCTCCCGTGTGATCCTTCTAGTCTATTCCTGTATGTATAACCAAAGAACTCTGTTTCCTATTACAGAAACATGTGGTTATCCATGTTTATAGCTGTGCTGTTCACGGTAGTTAAGGCATGGAAATAGCCTATTTTCATCAGTTGATGAATGGATAATGAATATATGGTGCTTCTATACAATGGAACTTTATTCAGCTATAAAGAAAAATGGATCTCTACACCCTTAAACCTTGCTCCAGATCCACAGCCTGCAAACCATCTTTGTTCACTAGCCACTTTGCCTGAGAGGTGTAGTTCTTAAACCTCCCCAAAGAAGCTTCTCTTTGCAGCAGACAGAGACCATCACAGAAATCCACAAGTGACCAAAATACAGAGAACAAGCAACCATGGAGTACCTAGTCCCAGTTGATAGCATCCACAGCACAACTCCTGCACCCAACATCCTGGAAGAGGGGACAGAAAGTTTGTATGAGCTAGAGAAATAGGAAGCCTACTATTAGATTTTATTCATCAGTAAAGAGAATATACACATATATACATACAAAAGAGTCTAATTGGAGTTACCCTCCATAGGGGATTATGCTCATCCAAGAACCCATAGGTTGCCAAATCAAAAGCCCATTTTCCTCTGTGGGATACTTTTCCTTGAATTTTATATCAGAGGTGTCCTGGAGACACCCCCCAACAATGCAGGCTATTGCCTTTGCTTTTGGTTGCCCATCAGACTTGATAGTAAGACCTTATTGCTGAAGACACGACATACATCGGTCATAGAACATGGAGAAACCAAGTTGGTACTGAGCAGAAAGCGTCATCTCTGATGACTAGCTTTTATAGTACTGGGAAGTACTATGCAGGTTGCTGGGGTTAGGGAAATCATCAAGAGTCTGTCCCAGGTGTGAACCTTGTGAACTGCAACAATGATCAGCCAGATAAGATACATACGGTGATGCAATCGTGGCATGAAAGTTATGGATTTAAGGCTCGTGCCACAGGAAGAAACACATGCCTGGTACTGTACATCTGGCCAAGTTGGAGAGCTCACAGGTCCCAGATATCAGCCTAGTACTATTATTCTGTAAATGGACATAGTATCAAACTGCCTTGTAAAGTCATATCCCTCTACCCATAGATCCGTGCAGTTCTCAGTCCTCATCAGAGAAGTGTCTGTGTGCAGTGTACAGTTATTAGTGCTGAAACTCACAGTTCGTCAAAGTGAAGAGAATCAATGTCAGTAGAGTGTTCAGCCGCAGACAGAACATTTCTATCACACTGCCTTCCCCCAAGACTCAGGGACCATCACAGAAGAGGAGGTAGAAAAAAGGAGCCAGAAATCAGGGAAGACCCAAGAAAAAACTGTCTTCTGAACAAGGTATGGCCACTGCATCCTTGCATTCACAGAAGCTGTGGTTGCCTGCAGGAGACCTGAAAAATCAAGCCAGTTAACATTCTAGCACAGAGCGAGGGAAGGTTCACTGGCCCAAATCCCCATGGATCTGTGGACAGTTGATGGCCTCTGGAAGAAGGAGCCAGTTTTCTTTAGGGATATGATTCCCAGTTAGGCAACTGTACTTCAGTGGGTGGCTCAAATTGAAGTCACTGAGTAATTTTTTTTTTAAATGAGAAAAACACGAAGTTAGACTAGGTAAAGATACGAGGAGTGGATTTGGGATGAACTAGAAGGAGTGGAGGTAAATACGATCCAAATGCATTGTATGAAATTATCAACAAATTAATAAGTAGGGCAAGAGAGAGACAGTTCAATGGTTCAGAGTATGTACTACCCTTCCAGAGGACCTGAGCTGGGTTCACAACACCCATGTTGGGCATCACACAAATGCCTGCAATTCTGTAGATTCCAGGAAATCTGATGTCTCTGGCCTCCACAGGCACACATAAATACATACACATGCACACATTATTAAAAAAAATAAAATGAAACTTTAAAAGGAGCTCACATAAGCCAGGTGGTGATGGCACACACCTTTAATCCCAGCACTTGGGAGGCAGAGGTAGGAGGATCTCTGTGAGTTGGAGGACAACCTGGTCTGCAGAGGGAGTTCCAGGATAGCCAGGGCTACAGAGAGAAACCTTGTCTCAAAAAAACCAACAACAACCTAGAAAGGAGCTCTTGTGTATGTACATGACAGGAAAGAAAGAGAAGACTAGTTGTGAAGAAGAAGGGTGGTCTCCAGGAGCTGGGGTGTAAGAGAAGGTAACAGGGGGTGAGGAGGATCACAGTACACTGTGTACAAGTATGAAAGCTAAAAGCTAAAATGTACCCACCTCCAGACATTTGCAAGGCTGGCTTTTTTTCCTCCCGGAGGTCCTCAATTCATGGCTTCTCTGCAAGGGCTCCCCTGACTGCCTCTAAATGTTCTTTATTTCTCTTCCTTGCTTTATTCTTGTTCACAATACCTGTCATTGACATAAGCTGCAATTTACATATGTTCTGTCTGCTTTTGTCTCTCTACAGAAAGCGTGATGAGGTCAGTCTGCTTTGTCCACTGCAGGATCACTGAGCCCCACTTTGTACATTTGCCTCAATAAGCATTTCTTGAACAAATCCAGATTTGCCTCTGAATTGTCTGAAAGCAGCTCCTAAGGCAGACTGCTCTATTTTCTCTGAACATCCGTAGTTTTTCTCTTGCTATGATGTGTATCCAGATTAAAACTGTGACAGTGATCATTGTCTCTGGCTCCAGGATATGTGATTTGCTACTAATTTATTTCAATGTTACAGTGTTATTAGAGTCTACCCCCTCTGAGATCTACTGCTGCCAGCTTTGTTATTGGTGGCTTAGGTTGGAATCAGACTTGTGTTTGCATCCTCTCTCCTCTGCTAACTAGTTATGAGATCTTGGACAAGTTCTTTGGGAGGGGTAGAGGAGGTCACAGGGCCCCATTGATCAAGAAGTATCTATGTGCAGGATGGTTAAGAATATTCAAGAAGCCGGGCGGTGGTGGCACACGCCTTTAATCCCAGCACTCGGGAGGCAGAGCCAGGCGGATCTCTGTGAGTTCGAGGCCAGCCTGGTCTACAGCGCGAGATCCAGGAAAGGCGCAAAGCTACACAGAGAAACCCTGTCTCGAAAAACCAAAAAAAAAAAAAAAAAAAAAAAAAAAGAATATTCAAGAAGATAATGTACCTGAAAGCTGGGGTAATACCTGATACATAGTAAATGATGGGCTTTATTTTGTCATGTCTGCATGACAATAGATTTGTGTTGCTCATCCTTGCCCTGTCTTTTGCAACTCTGCAAAAGATTTGTCAACGGTGCCAAAGCAACACATGCTGATGAGAATCCAGGTGTCACACTTTGATCTTTGAACATTTTTCAAGCTAGCAATGTACAGTACCAAACTCTGTGGTCATAGTACTTCAGCACAGACTAGGCTTCATGTCGGATTACTTTTGCTCTGTGGTGGGCAAAGTAAGTGGTTTGCATACATCTCCAATAAGCTATTGCAAACTATGATGTCAAGTAGGCTGAGTGAGTTAAATGTATTTTGTGCTCACACATTTTTCAACTTAAGAGAAGTTTGCTGGGATGTAACGCATCCTAAGGGGAGGAGCATCTGTATGTCATATCACTACTAGCAAAAGAAACAAAACCAAACAAACAAACAAAAATACCCAACATCTCCTAAATATTGCAGCTGAGTGACCTAACAACCTTCAATAAACCTACAAATAAATAGAACTGTAGACTGTAAATTGTCTGCCTGCTATGCCCCATATGTTGTCCTCACACTATGAAATCTAACAATACCAGAACTGTAGCTTGAGTTTTCCTGCCTGGCCCACAGTCAGGACAAATCTCTCTCACCTGCCAGTCCCACAGCCTCTCAGACCCGACCAAGTAAACACAGAGACTTATATTGGTTTCAAACTGTATGGCCGTGGCAGGCTTCTTGCTAACTGTTCTTACAGCTTAAATTAATCCATTTCTATTAATCTATACCTTGCCACATGGCTCGTGGCTTACCGGCATCTTCACATGCTGTTTCTCATCATGGCGGCTGGCAGTGTCTCTCTGACTCAGCCTTCTACTTCCCAGCTTTATTCTCCTCTTTGCCCCGCCTACACTTCCTGCCTAGCCAATGGCCAATCAGTGTTTTATTTATTGACTAATTAGCAACACATTTGCCATACAGAACATCCCACAGCACAGAACATTCACCTAGAGTTCATTTCCTACCCCAGTTAGCAGCCTCCTTTTTTCCTAGATGTGAGCATTAATTTATGAGTCAAATTGAGTTGACTACGGTACTGACTGTTACTCAATGAAATTATTTTTTTTTTTAGACAACATTACATGAAGTCAGTAGACTTTGTGTAAAGCAGATTACCCTCCACAATGTGCAGGAGTATTATCCAGTCAGTTGAATAGGACCCTCAGAGAAAAGCTGGATTAGAGACATACCATAGTATAGAGCTCATTTCCTAGCTTGGGTAAGGACCTGGCTTGTGTTCTTGGTACAATATAAGAGCAGGATGGTAACTCCTCAGAAAGAAAGAATTGTGCTCCAGATTGCTGGCCTGTTACCTCTCTGCTTTCACATTTGACCACCCCACCCCATTATTCCATGTATCAATTTCTTCTAAAACCCTGTGTGTGTGTCTCTGTCTATCTGTCTGTCTGTGTGTGTGTGTGTATTTGTGTCTCTTTCTCTCTCTGCCTCTTTCTCTGCCTCTTTCTCTGTCTCTGTCTCTCTCTGTCTCTCTCTCTCTGTCTCTGTCTCTCTCTCTCTCTCTCTCACACACACACACACACAGTTGGTTCCCAGTGACACTAGTCATGCCAGTCAACCATAAGAACTTTGTCAATTTTTGATGGCCCTTCTCCTAATCTATAACCTCTTCAGCCAGTAGTAGTTGGTTTTTCATTCATAATTTCCTGAACTTACCCAACATTCCTCTTTGTGTTGATATGATAATTTCCCCACAAGGATGTATACTTTTCTACTTTTGTTCCTTAGAAACTAGGGAAAGTTGTCTAATATCCTTCAGCCTTTATTGCTACATTGTAAACCCAGGGACTAACTCTCTAAGTAAATCGATGTATAGGGAATCCACATTCTCACAGTATTGTGAAACACATACCATAGTGTTGGAAAATGTGTTCCATTCCACTAATCCCCTGTGAAGCTTCTGTGGCAAGGAAATGAGCCATACTGTGTTCAGTCAAGCTGAACAGTGAAGAATGGAGACAACTCTGTGGATTAGTTGATTAAGAAAGAATCGGAGCACTGTTGATCTGTGACTGTAAGGATGGGCACACAAGGATGCAAGTGTACATGGCAGATACAAACCAAAAAGTCAGACCACGATGGAGGCAACTAAGTAGACTCAACATTCAAGACCAGGGAATCTATTGGCTTTGGGAGAGTAAAGCAATTCTTATGCTTTAAGCAAGTGGAATGCTCAGAACAGGAACTTCCAACAGTAAGAAATGAGAATATGGCTATGCAATCCAAGGCACATTCCCAGTCCCAGAGACTGAGTTTCTCACCTCAGCGTAGGAACAGAAGTTATAGTCAGTGTGAAATCAGTGAACATTACGATGACCAGTCTGGCTCCAGAAATGTTCTGGGGACAAGGCCAATTCCAGGTGACAGTTACAAAAACTTCTGCTGATTAAACCCTTGGCAGCAGAGAGACAGCAACGCCCAGAAGACTTCTGTAGAAGCATCTTAAGAGAATCAAGTCTCAGAGATGCCTTCTTTTTTGTGTAGGAGTAAAGCTTTCTCTGTGCAGGGATTAGCATCTCTATCAAAAAGTGTGGGATCAGCATTAAGAAGTTTACTTTGATTAAAAAGGTCTCTACTTCGTCAGTCTGGGCAGGAGTTTGAAGACTAGAAAGAATTATAGTTGAAATAACATTTTGCTATAGATTCCAATACACAAAAGCTGTTGGTTGGTGATAGAATAGCCCTGGTTGTTAGGCATGATGGTATCCAGTGTAGCATTTGAAGTCTACAGCAGGACTATTGTGAGTTAGAGGCCAGTTTGGACTATACAGTGAACTTTATCTCAAAACCAGAACAACCTTGGTGCTTAGAGTTATATGCCGGGTCAGCATTTAACGATCCATGCAATGGCTTGCCGTGTGTAAAAGGTGTCCTCAGTGTCCCAACAGGAAGTAAGATGAATTGTACAGCATTAGGGTAAGTTAGTGGAGTTTATTAGGGACTGATCTCAGGCAGGCACTATAGTTTAGATCTGGATCTCACTCAAGGCCCTTGTGTTAAAGGCTTGGTATTCACCTCAGCACCATTGGGATATGGTGAAGCCTTAAAGAGGTGGATCCTACTCTGTGAAGGGCCTTTAGGTTACTAGGGACAGGACAATCAAAACTGTTATGGTACTCCAGCCTCCTCCTTTTCCTCTCTTTTGCTTGCTGGCCATGTGGCTTTGCTGTGCCACATGATTCATAGAGATGCAGGGCTATTGACTGCCAAATGATAGAGCCAAGTGGTCACACTTGGAGATGTCTAAAGATGTGGGTCAAAATAAGCTTGCAGTATCTGTTATATAGTGGAAAGCTGATCAAAACATCTGGTTAAGGGAAAAGCCCAAAGGTAGGGTGGACTCAGAAGCTGAGTGCTTATGTCTCTTGACCCAAAGGGAAGAAGAAAGAGAACTCACAGAGCCTATAAGGAAAATCATGAATAGTAGGTCCCCTGATAGGACTGATGAGTGATAAGTGTCCCAGCCAGCCCTTGGCAAGCTCTCAAGCTCTCCTCTCCTTGAAATCCCTTCTAACTAAACTCATCTTAGGAAGCCAAGGAGTGTAGGACAATCCAGGTCAGCATCGGACTGAGAGCTCAATGGAGAAGGGTGGAGAGTGCATCTCAGAGCAAGCTGGTACCTCTGGATTCCCAAGACACAGGAGACTCTCCTCCCCTTACCCAGTGGACCAATCAATCCTTCACTGTTTCTTGAGGGTGTTCTGAAACATCGCCTTCTACTAGGCCATCACTCGGCCATCACTATAACAAAAGACCTGAGATAATTATGAAGAGAAAAGGATTTAACATATAGTCTTAGAGGGTCCACATGATAAATGAACCCCAGTACTTTGGTAATAACTTTGATAACTGAAAGGACTGAGCAGACGCCATAACAGGCTGCTCAGTCTTCTCTCAGAGATCAGGCCTCAGTTTCAGTTTCCTGAGACTTGAGCAAGCAGTTTCTGGGAGGCTATGAACAAAAGACATAGTCCTTGCAGTAGCTCCCTTTCTGCACGTACTCTGACTGCTCAAGGTTCAGTCAATTGTTTACTGTCTGGGACCCCTCACCAACTTAGAGCTACGTGCATGGGTCAGTGTGAATGTGCTAGACCAGCCAGTCTCCATGGCAGCTCAAGGACAGAGCCTGGGACTTGTCCACGCCTGCCCAAAAATGATAACTGTAACCCCAACCAGTAAATTCAAAGGTTACTTACCCTCACCCAATCATATGATGCCAAGGCTTGTACCGCCTTGCTTGCTGTTTTTCCCTTTAAAAACTCTTCACCCTGAGAGCTCAGAGCCGTCCTCCTCCACCCATTGTCAGAGTTTTGAACACGGACCAGGCCTGGGCTTGCTTGTTATCAATAAACCCCTGTGTGTTTTGCATCAGATATCAGCTCTGTGGTGGTCTTGCTTGGTGGGGGAGGTCTTGATACGCAGGCACAACAATAACCACAGCAACTCACTGTTGTAGACCATTTTCCCAAGTTCCCACCACCTTAGGCCTTTTGTCCTGAAAGCATCCTAGCTATCTGGGAACAATCCTTTACCTAAAGTTAGCATTCTGCAATATAGCTTGTGATTGTTACCATTAATTGCTTCACAAATGTTTTTTTCTCAATTCTTCTTCAAAGCTTTCCACCCATCAAAGTATATGCTTCAGCACTCCTCCTTCTAAACACCTTAACAGATTTCTCTACAAAAGTCTTTCTGGATTTCTCTCAAATATGATCTTTCCCTTCAAATCCCTAAAAATAGTTTTCAGTGCTGTTATTTTATCCTGTCCTATAGAACATTTCTTAGTCCATATTAGAAGCTTTTCCTAAGTATGTCTCTTACAACCTTCCTTAATTTTATAGAAGTAATACTGTGTACTTCACAGAGATATTTTTAAGTTCCTGAGCTGGTTAGTTTTTTGTCAACTTGACACAAATTCAGATCATCTGGGAATAGGGAATGTCAACTCAGAAAGTACCTGCAACTCCAGCTTGAAGGGATCTGATGCCTCTGGCCTCCTTGGGTACCTATACACATGTGACATACACACATATAGGCACATAATTAAAAATAAAATAGATCATTTTTTTTTTCAGAAAAAGAAAGTAAGTGAATGAAAGTAGAACCTGGAAGTTGGCTAAGCATGAGAGTGGCCGGGGACAAATTGGCAGTAGAGAAGACTGTTGATGGTCCAGGTTTTAAAAGTCGAATGAAGATTTTTCTCTTAAGGCTGGATATGGCGGTGCACACCTTCAATCCTAGCACTTAGGAGGCAGAGGTAGATAGATCTCTGTGAACTAAAGTCCAGCCTGATCTGTATGCTGCGAGATCCAAACCTAGCCAGGGCTGCATAATGAGGTCCTGTCTCAGTTTTCTATTGACACTATGAAACATGAATCTCCAGGAAAGGATTTTAGTAAAAATGTTAACCACAGCCTTCATGGATCATACCAGCAAGGTAGTCAGCAAGGACACTCAATCATCTATTGTAGTGGTCCAGACTTGGGCATTGGTGTTGACATTTGAGAAGGGACAGAGTGGACAGGTAAGTCATGCTTAGGAAGTAACTGCTTGGATTTATAGTAAGAGGAAAGTGGAGTATCAATCAGGATGGTTGATTTCATTATTATTGATAAAAAAAAGTTACCCCCAAATGTATTGACTTTGAACAATAATTATAATTGTGCATATGAGGGCACACCTGTAATCCCAGCATTTGGGAGGCAGGGGCAAAAGTATCACTGTGAGTTCAAGACCAGCCTGGTCCACACAGTGAGTTCCAGACCCCATAGCTGTGATTTCATAACAAAGTGAGACTCTGTGTCAAGAAAAAAACTCTAGACACAGCAGCTTACCTAGTTCTGTTCCAGTCTTTCATGTACCAAGCTATTGGTAGGTGCAGGGTCGTCTAAACGTCGGCTGGGGCTGGAGGACATGCTTCCAGTTTCACGTTTTTGTTCACAGGCCTCCCAGGTCCTCACTGTGTGGCTGCTTGCCATGGAAACTGGATTCCTTCCATGTGAGTCCATGAAAGAATGAGTGGGAGGGGCTGCAATGTGGCTTAGGGACACCTGTGAGATTCTTGTCATTCTGATAAATGCCTAAGGGAGGAGCTTAAGGAAGAGGGGTCTATTCTGCTCATGTGTTCAGAGGTTTTGGTCCATCATGGTGGGGAAGGCATGGCAGAGTATAAAGCAGCTTACACCAGGGTGTCCAGGAAACAGAGAGAGAAAAGAGAGAGAGAGAGAGAGAGAGAGAGAGAGAGAGAGAGAGAGAGCCTGTGTATGGATTTCATCCAGGCCCCAGCCTATGCTATCATGCCTCCCACATCTGGGAATTCCTTTCTTCTTAGTTAATATTCTCTAGAAAGTCTTCACTGAGATGTCTAGAGAAGAGGTTTTGTTTGTTTGCTTGTTTTTTCTGTTTTGGTTTTTCGAGACAGAAAAACAGGGTTTCTCTGTGTAGCCCTGGCTGTCCTGGAACTCACTCTGTAGACCAGGCTGGCCTTGAACTCACAGAGATCCACCTGCCTCTGCTTCCTGAGTGCTAGGATTAAAGGCGTGTGCCACTACCACCGGGCTAGAAAAGAGTTTTACCTAAATCCCTAGGCATGTCTCAATCCAATGAAGCTGACAACCAAGATTCATCGTCAGAAATCCATCCACCCCAATACATCTTTTTATACCATAATAATTTCACCCCTAGACCCTAAAGGGCTCATGTCCCCTTCATAATTCAAGATTCATCTAGCTCACCTCCAGGAGTCCCAATAGTCTTCACAGTTTCAAAATTGTTCAAATCCCAAGTTCAAAGTTCCCTTCAAGACTCAAGGCCAACATTTAGCTTGTGAATCCTTGTGGAAAAAAAAAACAACAAGAAAATTATACACCTCCAATATAAAATAGCATAGAGTTAATGTTTCCATTTCAAAAGGAGAGAGTTGAGGGATATGAAAGAGAACCAAGGGCTGGGGCCATGGCTCAGTGGTTAAGAGTGCTTTCTACTCTTCCAGAGAAGCCAAATTTGGTTCCTGGAATCTCTATCAAGTAGCTTACAAATAACCTGTAACTCCAGTGCTAGAGGATCTGATGCCCTCTTCTGGCCTCTGTGAGCACCTACATTCATATGCACATACCCCTACACACACACACACACACACACACACACACACACACACATACACACACACACAAATGAAAAGAAATAATTTTTAAAAAAGAGAACACACATGCACCACACACATACATGTACACACAGAAAGGAAGAGTGGGAGGAAGAGAGGGAGGGAGGAAGGAAGGAACGAAAGAAAGAAGAGCAGGGCAGGGCAGGGCAGAGAAGAGCAAAGCAAGGCCAAAACCCAGCAAAGCAAACATCAAGTCCCATAGGCCCGTGTCTGACACCCAGGGTTCACTGTGGCTGTAAGATAGGAGCCCTAGAGGTCTTCAGAGGTCTCCATTTCCAACTTCTATGGCCTCTCTTCTGTTAAGTTCTGCTTACAGGACTCCAAATTATTCTAAACTCCTTCCACAAACCAGTTCCAACATTGCTGACCCACATGGTCAGGAACACTAACAGTAATGACCTTACTTAGCAATTTTCTGTGGTAGCCACTCTTGTCACTGGGACAGAATACCTGAGAAAACAAGATGGGCTCATTTTGGCTCACAGTTTCAGAGATTTCAGTCATCTAAACTCCTTCCACAAACCAGTTCCAACATTGCTGACCCACATGGTCAGGAACACTAACAGTAATGACCTTACTTAGCAATTTTCTGTGGTAGCCACTCTTGTCACTGGGACAGAATACCTGAGAAAACAAGATGGGCTCATTTTGGCTCACAGTTTCAGAGATTTCAGTCATCATGGAGGTATTGCAGAGTTAAAGGACTTACATCAGAACGGTCAGGAAGAGAGGATTCCTGTACTCATGGGCTTTCTTTTTCTTTTGTATTTTATTTCCAGTTACCAGTCTATGGGATGATGACCCCCACATTCAGGACAGATTTTCTCTACCTTAGTTTACCATTTCTGAAAATGAGCTCTCCCAGAAGTATGACTTTACTAACTCCTAGGTATTTCTCAATCCAATCAAGATTGTTACTGACCTAGTTAGTATCAGAAGGGACACGCCATCACTTCTGCCATATTCTATTAGTCACACTGATCAAATCTGATACAATATAAGGAACAGGAATACCAGGAAGGAGGAAAGCATCACTGAAGGCTGCTGTGGAAGTTAATGACCATGGGCAATTTACAAAACATCATGTGTAGGGGTAAGGAAGACCACCATGGGATACTACGAGTTCCCGAAACTTTGAAAGAGAGAATCTTGGCGAACAGATCATGAGAGGAGTCACACAGGAGATGCACAGCCAGTCAGATTCAGGAACCAGCTCACTGCCTGTCACACAGATGAGCGTTAGCATTGTTTGCCACTCTGTGTCTAGTGAGGTCATGGATGCAGGCATCAATCAGTCATGTTGGGAATATTGTGCCCTTCGGTATTGCAGGAGCCAAATACTATACATCAGAATGTTCTCTGGCTTTCAGAGCTAGATGGTACACATTCACCAGCAAAATACTGGGCACAGTCTCGCTGAGGCAAATGCTGCCAGAGACTAAGAAAGAGGACTTCTACCCAGGCCTAACTCCTAAGAGTTAGGTAAGGCCAAGCACAAAAGAAAGCTCGAAAACACAGTAGCCTCCTCCACATGGTCTCTATAAACTGTTTCTTGGGCACAGAGAATGGAGTGGAGCAGGATCCAGCTAGAAAGCAGATCTAGTATAATAAGGCTACATATCAAGGGTAACTCTCCAGGGCCTGATGTGAGCCGCTATGTGGGCAGCGATCTGATTAAACGTAAGGACAACAGATAAACTATCATTTATTCAGAGTCTGGATTCATTATGTTGCACAGGCTGATTTCTCACTTTCTATTTATCTCAAGGTAGCTCTGAACTCGTATTCTCCTGCCTCAGACTTCTGAACGCTAAAATTACAGATATGCACACCATACCTGGTTCTGGTAGCTCATAAGTGTGCATGTTCTCTCTTTTCTTTCTCTCTTCTTCTTCCCCCCTTTCTTCCTTTCTTCCTTCCTCTTTCTCAGGAGGAAGACCATGCTGGAGACCAAGCTCAGGCCCTGACACTCACGCACAGAAGGCAGAGACTCTACTCCTTAGTCATACCCCCAGCCCCCTCCTTGGACGCTCTCAATCTGTCTTTCTCAGTCTTGGTTTCTCCAGTCAATGCAGATAAATTTGCCAGACAATTGTAAATATTTTCAGATTGTGTCAGAAACTGAGTTGTCTTTATTTTTGTATAGAGATGGGGGGGGGGCTGTATCTATAAAGGACTGACGAGGCCATATGATCCTTTGGGGCTAGAGTTATAGGAGGTTGTGAGCCTACCAATATGGGTGCTGGTCTTTTGGGAGAGCAGCAAACACTTCACCACTAAGCCATCTCACCAGCTGCAACTTTTAATTTTGTTTGTTTTTGTTTTGTTTTGTTTTTAACAGGAGAAACCAACTCTGGCTAAGACCAGAAAGAATGTATTTGAAAGATACGGAACAAGTCATCTGAAAAACAAGGTTCAGGAAGAACAACCCCGGATTTCCCCAGGGGCAGACAGTCATCTAGGAGCTCAGACACCATTGTCAAAATAAATCCTGCTCCAGTTTTCTTCGACAGCACTCGAGTTACCTGGTTCAAGATGCACTGGCCTGGAATAAAACAAGGCAGGCCTCATTAATTAACAGACTATCCTGACTGCTGCTGGGAGGGTCAAAACAATTACCAACAAGGAATGCAGAATGTTAAGAACCAAGGAGGGCTGGGTGCTAAGAAGCCTGGGAACAGCAAATACCCAGCATAGTCTGAGCTGTGATCTTGCTCCAGGGTTCCTCCAGGGTTTTGTGGAGGGAGGGAGGTGGCTTTTAGGCCAGCCTTGTGGAATCAACTGGTCTTTCACCATCTCTAGGCATGATGTTACTAGCTTAAAATGCCAGACTGTTTGTCACAAGGAGAATTGGTGTTTAAAAAAACGAAGCTGCGTCAAGCACGGTGGTACATTCCTGTAATCCCAGCATCAGGTAGGTGGCAGCAGGAGGGTCAGGAATCCAAGTTGTTGCAACACAGAAAATTCAAGGCTAGCCTTGGCTACCCAAGACTCTATCTCCAAAGACAAACAAACAAAAGTCCCCAAAGGTGTGTAATAAATATTGACACTAAAATAGGTAGGAGACAGAAGGGAATGCTGATGTGCTGATGTTTAAAAGAAAGATTACACGTGCCCACTGTTTTTCATATCTGATGACCACAAAGGTATGTTCCAGCAGCATCAGGGCAAAGTGGGAAACCTGGAGTGAAGACCGAGCTGGACTATACAAGCCTTTCCAGTTTACGGGAAACTTGCAGTGTCGGTAAGGAAAAGCACATGGCCTTTAACAACATCATTTCACTGGCCTGCATTGTTCCATGGCTTTCCACCAAGTTCTACTGCCTACCTGTCAACATTTAGCTCACCTGTCTTATCTCTGAGCCAGCCTGCAAAATCCAACCCACGTCATAACCAAGCAGCGCTTCCTGCTTAGGCCAGGAGCTTGTTACTTCTCAAATGTCCTCTCGGCTTCTTGCCATCTTTCTTTTTTTCTTCTTTGTTGTTTTTTTTTCCCCCCAAGACAGGGTTTCTCTGTGTAGCCCTAGCTGTTCTGGAACTTGCTCTGAAGATGAGGCTGGCCTCAAACTCACTGAGATCTGGCTGTCTCTGCCTCCCAAATGCTGGGATTAAAGGCATGGGCCACTACACCCAGCCTTCTTGCTATCTTTCTACACTTCTAAGAGTATGGAAAGCACAGTCCCTAATAATGACAAGCTGGATGTTGGAAGTTTACTGCAACTGTGTGTGTGTGTGTGTGTGTGTGTGTGTGTGTGTGTGTGTGTGTATGTGTGTGTCCGTGTGTGTGTGTCCGTGTGTGTGTGTGTGTGTATGTGAACACGCACACACAGAAGCCAGAAGACAACCTCAGCTATCATTCTTTAGTTGCCCCAATCTTGTTTCTGAAACAAGGTTTCTCATTGGCCTGGGCCTCACCAATTAGTCTAGACTTGCTGGCCAGCAGGCCGAATGGACACTCACCTACTCCTGCCTTCCCAGTCCTAGTGACTCCACACCCAGACACTGTAACTTTAAAAAACCTGCTCTCTCAGGCAGGCAGGCAGGCAGATCTCTGAGTTCCAGGCCAGTCAGGACTACATAGACAGACCCTGTCAAAAAACAAAACAAAAAAAAAATAAATAAATAAATAAATAAATAAATAAATAAATAAATAAATAAATAAATAAATAAAACAAAAAAATCTCAACTCAAGCCCTGCCAGAACATGCTCGTAAGTCTCCCCATCCCCATACCAGCAGCTCCACTCCCCGCACCACGAGCTCCACCCCCACCACCTAGACTCATCCACTGTGGGCACCAGAGCTCTTCTCCCAGCTAATGAGATCTTGCCAAACCTTAGAGTTACCTCACTATGACATATAAACAAGCCGAGTCACCTACAGTCCATAGCCCTGACCTAACTTCCTAGCCTCCTCTCAATACCACCTGTAAATGTGCATTTATTTATCTGTCCATTCATTCTTTCATTTGAATCGTGTGTATGCATTTGTGTTTGGGTGTAGGTATGTGTAGGTGAATGCCGGAGCCCTGAGAGGTCAGATCCTCTGGAGCCGGGAGTTAGAGGCAGTTGTGAGCTGCCTGGCACACATTCTAGGAACCGAACTCACGTCCTGTGCGAGAGCAGCAAGCTCCCTTAACCACTGAGCCATCGTTCCAGTTCCAATACTACTTTATTTATTCACTTATGTATTTGTTGGTTGGTTTGTTTTTGAGACAAACTCTTGCTAGGCATCCTTGGCTGGTCTGGTACTCACTATGTAGACCATGCTGCATTGAACCCATAGAAAATCATCTTCCTCTGCCTCCCAAGTGCTGGGGTTACAGGCCACCATGTCTCCAATACCTCTCTCTCATTTCACATTCCCAGAACATATCCGTCACTGTCCCACAATGAATTTTGCAGCCTCTGTTCCCTTTATCTTGTGTGTTCTCACATTGTCTTCCTCACCTTGCAAGTATTACCAATCAAAATGAATCATTTTTCCTAGCAATAATAATTATCCATTGTAAAGAACTGGATAGGGGACCAGCATAATAGTTGAGCTGGTAGACTGGATAAAGGCACCGCCGCTTAGTCAGACCACTTGAGTTTTTTCTCAGAAACGTATATGATGGAGAGAACTGACTCATGCAGGGTCCCTCTGACCTCCACACGCCCGCCATGCCCCCCTCAAATAAATCATTGAAAGTATAATTAGAGGGAGTGGGAGGGAGGGAGAATGAACCGAATAGGACTTTCGCATGTGCTGTCTCATTTAGCCCTGACCATAATCCAGCAGGTTAGGTATTACCAGTCCTCATTCCCTATCCGAGGCCATGAGGACAGCTGTGCTTCCAAATTCAGAATAGACTATGTTTTTGAAACGGAGAGGGTAGATACGCACACAGCACCTTCCTCTTAGGATGGGGCTAAGCGGGCCACGTGTTCTTTCAGAGAAGAAGCTAGGGAGATGCCCTGTCCAATGTATTTTTCTCAGGTCTGTCGCTTTAACCATTCTAAGCAATACTTATGTATGAACAGAACCTTGCAAGGGAAATAAGTACAGCTAACTTTTGCAGCCACTAACGTGCACCAGAAAAGTAATTTAAATGGTGATAAAGTGTTTGCGTGGATGGCCGCTCTTTCCCATTTCTTCCTTCCCTTTGCTTCCTTCTGCTGCTTACACGCTTTCCTCAGTTTCCCCATTAAGAGCACAGGCCTCTGCTTCCAACGGAAGAATTCTTTCTTCAGTGTCACTACCAATTCATGTTTTATGATTTTACCATTATTGTGTGTTGTATGCATGTGTGTATGGGGGTGTGTGCTCATGCCCCTGCACACATGTGGAGGCCAGAGGACAGCTTTGTGGACTCCTCTCTCTCTCCTTCCACCTTTACATGGGTTCCAGTATTGAACTCAGGTCATCAGATTCGCAGCCAGTGCCTCAACCACTGGCCTTCTCACTGGCCTTCAGTTTTCTCTGGCAACACACACACACACACACACACACACACACACACACACACATACAAAAAAAAAAAAAAACCAAAAACAAAAAAAACACACACACTTTAATTTTTTTAAAAAAGATTTATTTATCTTTTATGTACTTTGGGGTTTTGCCTGCATATATGTCTGTGTGAGGATGCCAGTCCCCTGAAACTGGAGTTACAGACAGCTGTGAGTGGCCATGTGGGTGCTGGGAATTAAACCCGGGTCCTTTGGAAGAATGGCTGATGTTCTTAACCACTGAGCCATCTCTCCAGTCCCCACACTTACTTTTTTTTGTCTTTTAATTTTTAACTTTATTGTTAAAAGAGTTATAAAATTTAAAAAAGTTTGGTGTGTGATGTTTTAATTTTTTTTTTTGAGACGGGTCTCATACGGCCCAATAACCTTGAACTTACTACGTAGCCAGTAATGACCCTAAACTCCCAATCCTCCCACTTTCCCCTCCTCAATGCTAGGATCACAGGTATATGGTAAACCACACCTGTTTTATGCCGTGTTGAGGATCAAACCCCAAAGTTTCATACGTGGTCGGCAAGCACTCTGACGCCTGAACTACATCCCCAGCCCCACTACTCCTGTCTTGCCTGACAAAACCAAAAATAGTTACCATGTGCTTTAGGAATTCAATATAAAGACTCAAAACAAGCGTGTTCTCTTCATTATTCTGTGAGTCTACATACAGAGGAGACCAAAAGTTTAGTCCTAGTCACTGACAAGATTACCCGGTCAGTAAAGGTGCTTGCTGCCAAGCCTGGCAACCTGAGTTAGATCTCCAAGCTCCACATGAAGAGAGGAGAGGACCAACTCCTGAAAGCTGCTCTGTTACCTACACACACACACACACACACACACACACACACACACACACACACACACACCCCATAGCATGTACCACCCCAAATCAATAACTAAACAAATGTAATTAAAATTTTGAATTAGTGTCAAACTATTCGTAATAATCAAGAAATGGAAATGCCTAAGGTGTCCATTTACAGTGACTAAGGAAAATGCAGTGCATATATGCAATGGAATATTATTGTGTCATAACAAAGAATTGAATCCTTTGATTTATCACTTGGATGGGAGTAGAGGACCTTATGTTAACTGAAAAGAACCAGGCACAGAAGGGCAAATACAACACTCTCATATGTAGACACCAAAAGAGGGCACAATAGTAGCCATTTGATACCAAGAAGGTCTCTTTGTTTCTTTTCTCATCAATGAGACAAAAATGACAACTTAGGGGCAGAAGGGTAGGAAGGGTCATTTTGGCTCTGGGGGTACAGTTCATCACAATGGGGAAGGCAAGACAGCTGGGGCTCCATCTGTGGTGTGTGGCCTCTTGTATCCCTGTGGGCCAGGAATCAGAGCATTCAGCCTTCAGGAAGAAGCAGAGCTAGCCTGCAAACATCAAGCTGCATTCCCAGAGCCCTGGGCCCACCAACTATTACCAGAAGGTTCCACAACCTCCCTAGAAAGCACCACTACCTAGCGACTGAGTTCAAACGCATGAGCCTGTTGGAAACAGTTCACATTCAAACCACAGCAGAAGGCTGTGCTCTAGGGGAAGACAGGAGGAAGTCTGGTGACAGATCCCAAGAAACACGAAGGGAGGAGGGCTAAGCTCAAGTACCCATCTCACAGTAGGGTGACAACAGTTGGCAATAATTCATTATTCATTTTATAAATAACTGAAGGGCAAGAATAAGATTTCCCCAGCTACAGAAAAATGATAGCTATTTCAGGAGTTAGAAATGTCAGTTTTCTGGATGTGACCCTTTTGCATTGTTCATAATAATCAAATTATCACACTGTAGCATGTAAGTGTGTACAATTATGTGCTGAATTAGTATTTTAAGGGTAAATAAGAATTTGTGCTGGCAGGAGGGTAGTGCTTAGCAGTTTAGCAGTTAAGAACACTGTCTGCTGTTCCAGAGGACCAGGGTTCAATTCCCATCATCCACCCACACGGGAGAGCACTGTCTGTAATTCCAGTCCCAGGGGACCAGACACCCTCTTCTAGCCTCTGAGGGCACTGCATGCACCTGGTGTACACACGTGCGCTTAGGGACCTTCAAGATCAGCTGGCACTGGGGCTGAAGCCATTCAGCCTGCTCTTGCTGGTGTGAGAAACAACGATCCTCACTTCATAATAAGAGCCCTGGAGACTCGGAGCCACTAACAAGAAGCAATTTGATTTATGAGCAGGGGTCAGGCTAGAATTGCAGGCTTACTGATTGAGCACCAAGAACAGTTTATAAACCCTTGTGGATGAGCCTGCCTCCCCCTTCCTCATCACTGAGTCATGAGGAAGGTGCAGTCTCAGAAGCCATCTAGATCTTATCTCTACATTTGTCTTTTTTCTGAACAAAACTGTGTGTGGGTTCATCTCCACATTTTACATCCTGTTTATTTTAAAACTTCTCAGATACATGACCTTGCAGGCAAGCTTGGCTCTTACTAATTTTCTTCTTTAAGCTGGTAGTTTGAGTAAGGAGGACAGCTTAGCAGAGTTTGGGTAGAAGGGAACAACTTGACTTGCAAGCGTTTCAAGGGACTAGAGTTTTCTGTTCGTTTATATCTGGACCCAAGCTGGCTCTAGGCACCTTTGGAAATGAGCTCACTACATCTGACTTCAACATCTCAGGGATTCACCTGCTTTGCTGAAAACATTGGAAGACTATGCATTTTTAGTGTTATTTCAATGTGCTATTCAATTTAGTATTTCAATGTAATTAGCCAGTCTTCTGTGGCTTTATATTAAATCTTAAGATGGGTTATGTGCTCCAATTTTTCATAATGATTGCTATTTTCGTCTTTTGGGAATCCATTTTTGACCAATTTTACCCTGAAACATGGAATATCATACCATGTATTTAGACTTTTAAATTCTCTCAGCAGTGTCTTGTGTTTTTCAGTCTGTAGGCTTTGCACATGCTTAAATTCCATGAATATTTCATGTCTTGTGTTATTATATACAGTCTTAAGTCCATTGTCTATGTCTTCATTCTTCATTATATTGTTCATCTCATTGTATAAAAACCCAGTTGACTTTGTGTATTAACATTATATCTTGGGAATCACCCAGTCCAAGGATCTTTTTCTTGGTCCTTCAGGATTTTCTATGAATGCAATAACTTTCTCTGTGAATAAAGTCAATTTTATTCCTCCATTCAAATTTTTATGTCTGCTTGTCTCTTCCCTCTCCCTCTCTGACATCCTTCCAGGATCTCTAGGATGAGACTGAATAGAAATGCTGACACCAGGAAAAGCTTGCTATATTCCCAGAACTCAGGAGGAAACTTTCAGTATTTCAACTTTAAGAATTACTTTAGCCTTGATATCTTCATTTGTGTTGGTTTTGTAGCTGTCTTTCATTATATTGGCGAAGCCACTTTCCATTACATTTTTAAAGAAATATTTTTAGAATTGTGTGTGTGTGCTTGTGCTCTCTCTCTCTCTCTCTCTCTCTCTCTCTCTCTCTCTCTCTCTCTCGCACACATGCACATGTGTTTGTGTGTATGTGCATATGGGGGGGGGGTGTCAGGTACCCAACGAGTCCAAAAGAGTTAGTGTTGGGGATCAAGCTCAAGGTTGCACACACACTAGGCAAGTAGTCTTCCACTGAAGTGCAGCCCCAAATCTTGTCTATGGCTTTTTAGACCTGTGAATCTTCGTTTGTGTATATGTTGAGGGGGGTGTTGCCTTTCATGCATGTCTGTGCACGCACCATGTCTGTGCCCGTTACCTGTAGAGGACAGAGAGGGCATCAAACCCCCTGGAACTAGATATACAGATAGTTGTGAGGCACCATCTGGGTGATTAGAATCAAACCCAGGTCCTCTGGAAGAATAGCCGGTGTTCTTAACCACTCATCTCTCCAGCCACATAGGGCTGTGAATCTCAAAGAGCCAGCGGTGTTAATTCAATCAAGAAACCAGCTGATATGAAATGCAGGAAAAGCTGATTTTTTTTAATTTGAGTCTGGGGCAGGAAAAGACCAATGCCACCGACCAACCAATCATGCAGGATGAATTTTCACTTGGTCTTTTTGTTCTGCTGGGGTCTTTAGTTGATATAACGGAGATACCAATGTTAGGGTAAACAACATGCTGTCTCTAGTTCAGCAGTTCTCAACCTGTGGGTCGCGATCCTTTGGGGCTCGAACAACCCTTTCACAGGGGTCTCCTGAGAACATCGGAAAGCACAGATATTTACACTACGATTCATAACAGTAGTAAAATTACAGTAGCAATGAAAATAATTTTATGCTTGGGGGTCATCATAACGTGAGGAATTATGTTAAAGGGTCGCAGCATTAGGAAGGTTGAGAACCACTGATGTAGTCCGTCAAGCATCTTCACAGACATACCCAGAATAAGGATTGACCAAATCCTTATTTGGCCTGGGCACTTCATGGTCTAACCAACTGACACATAAAACTAACCATCAATGGCTGGAAGACAGAAATACCATAAGAATTTAGGGACTCTGATCCCTGCTCTGGTTCCTGTAGCAGGTTGTTCTTATCAGACTTTCTTTGGACCACCAGCACCAAAATAATGACAAGGGGACTGATTATTAATTCTGAAAGTTTGGCCTTAGCTTAGGCTTGTTTCCAACTAGCTCTTATAACTTAAATTAGCCCATTCTTATTGATCTACATTCTGCCACCTGACCCTTTACCTCTCCTCAGTACCGTGCATCAGACTTGCTCCAAGACTCACTGGTGAAATCTGCACACTTAGATTCATTCCCTGAGTTCCTCTCTCTGCCTGGAAGTCCCACCTAACCACTCCTGCCTGCCGAATAGCTGTTCAGCTTTTTATTAAACCAATCAGGTGAGGCGAAACATAGACACATCTACACACAGTGTAAACCAATAGCCTGCAACAGGTTCCTAAAGGAGTTTAGAACTGTCTCTTCAGAAGGGGAAATGCTAGAGTAGCATTGAAGGCTCACTAAGGGAAAACTATCACCTCCCACCCAAAAGACTGGAATCTACCTCT